AAAATAAGTCCCTGCTAGGACACATATGATATGAACAACCGGAATTTAAAATCCACTCATTGTCTAATCTGAAACTAGTTTCAGTTGCTAAAAATATAGTTCCCTCAATCTCATCAGTTGCTACACTAGCTTCGGCGGTGTCAGTATTTTTGTGCTCATTTTTTCTTTTCTTATGTTTTTCTTTATTTTTCAGCTTATAGCATTCGGAGATAATGTGACCTTTCTTATGACAATAACGACACTGTAAATTATTGTATCTGGATATGGAGTCGGAGTTGCCCCTAACAAACAAGCCAACTTCCGCTTGAGTTCCACTAGCTTCCCCAGTAATATCACTATCTATCTGTTCCTTTGAATTTAAGATTGATTTAATATCCTTATAAGAGATATTATCCTTTGCATAAAGCATAGTATCTCTTATATGCTTAAAAGATGGGGGTAGAGAACAAAGCAGTAACACGGCTTGATCCTCATCTTTAATTTCAGCATCTATATTACTCAAATCCATAAGAATGGAATCAAATGTGTCAAGATGAGAGAGAATAGAGGTACCTTCACCCATACGAATTGTATAAAGCTTCTGCTTCAGGTAAAGTCTATTTTCCACCGTCCTCTTCATATATAAGGTTTTCAATTTTTCCCACATGCCTTTAGCTGTGGTTTCTACAGAAACTTCACGTAAAACCTTATTTGAGAGATTTAAAATAATACCTGCTTTTGCCTTTTTGTCTATGATGGCAAAATCCTCATCCGTCATTTTATCCGGCTTCTTCTCCTTTCCTTGCAACGCCAAGTCTAAGCCATCCTGAATTAGGATAGCTTCCATCTTTAATTGCCACATTCCGAAGTTTGCTCTTCGGTCAAATTTCTCAACATAGGTCTTTGTTAGAGTCATTTTGGCTATTAAAACTAACCCAGTTAGATCCGGCTCTGATACCAATTTGTTAGGATCGGGAACCCGGGTAGTGCAGAATTTAGCCAAACAACGGTATAATGACAATAACAAAGACAATGGAAGTTGATAACAACGACAATTAAAGTAGATAAAGAAGACACAAATTTAACGTGGTTCGGTCAAAGTGACCTACGTCCACAAGCGGAGAGGAGCAATTTACTATAAGAATAAGAGTACAAAAGAGAGTACAAAATTAGAGTAAACACTCTAATTAATCCCAAATACCCTAAGAGAATAACCTCACAAGATCACTCCAAAGAAAGGGTTCACACAAGTGCTTCCCAACACTAACTCTCATACAAAACACTCTTAATAAAGGAAGAAAGGAAGAAACAAGAAATGAAGACTCAAGTCTTGTTGGTGTGTCTAAAATGAACTAATGGCCTTCCCTTTTATAGGCAAAAAAGTTTTGACCTCTTAGGTGTAAAAGAAGAGATACAACTTGTGCAAATGATGTCCAACACACAATGCAATATTTTTGGGTCCCAAAGAATATTGCCAACAAAGTCTACACTTTGCAAAGATGCTTATGCTTATGTGAGATGGACTCCATTTGACAAAATAATGGCCATATTACAGTGTTCGGATCACAACTCTAAACATTACACATATCTAATAGACAAGTAAACAATATCAAACTCGTCCACTTGGATCCAAATCATAAATGATAAATCTACGTTACTATCTCATTAATCTGTCGCTCATCTTAAAAAAAATAAAATATTTTACTGAACACAATGTATGTTAACAGAACTATACAACTGATTACTTTTCTCGGTGACTGTCATATCATTAATTTCTTTTGTGTGCACTCAAACTTTTTTTATGATTCATCTATTTTTATCATGAGTGTGAGTGTAACGACCCGACCGGTTGTTTTGAGAGTTATAGCCCTTTTTTCCTCATTTATTGCTCATTTTTTACTTTAAAGCTATTATGTGACTTGCCGGGGTAGTCGGTTTAGATACGGAGAGATTTTAGAATCAAATGAGACACTTAGTCTCAAGGTTGAAAGCTTAAGTTGAAATGATTGACCGGTTGTTAATCTATGAGTAAACGACTCCGGAATGGAGTTGTGATTATTCCGTTAGTTCCGTTGGATGATTTTGGACTTAGGAGTGTATCCGGATTGTGATTTGGAGGTTGGTAGTGGGATTAGGCTTGAAATGGCAAAAGTTGTATTTTTGGGAAGTTTGACCGGGAGTGGACTTTTTGATATCGGGGCCAAATTTCGATTCCGGAATTTGGAGTAGGTCCATAATATAAAATGTGACTTGTGCACAAAAAATGGGGTCAATCGGACGTGATTTGTTAGGTTTTAGCGTCGTTTGTGGAAGTTGAATTTCCTCAGTTTCAATAGGCTTGAATTGAGGTGCAATTCGTGGTTTTGAAGTTGTTTGATATGATTTGAGGGCTCGACTAAGTTTGTATGAGGTTTTAGGACTTGCTGGTATGTTTGGTTGAGGCCCCGGGGGCCTCGGGTTGATTCCATATGGTTAACGGATCAAAAGTTAAAGTTGAGAGATTGCTGAAGCTGGACTCTGCTGGTCTAACCGCACCTATGGAGCTTTGATCGCAGGTGCGGACTGGAATGCGCAGGAGCGAGTTTGGAGGGGAGTGTGCAGGTGGGCTGTAGGTGCGAGCGCACCTGCGTGATCGCATATACGACAGGGGGACCGCAGAAGCGGAACTGGGCAGGTGAGCTTGGTCCGCTGAAGCGACTTGGATGCTCGCTGAAGTGAGTCCGCAGAAGCAGAGTGAAGGACCGTAGGAGCGAAAGGAGCAGCAGATACATGTAATATGTCACTTTTGCGACGCCGTAGAAGTGGAAACTTCATATTCTTGTATTCTTGTCGTGCAGATTTGTTGGCTCCAGTAACTACACTTCTGTATTCTATTCTCTCACATATGGTGAGGACACGTGCTACCGGATAGGATGGACAGCCTCCAGTACCACCAGCTAGGGCCACGAGAGGTCGAGGTCGTGGTAGGGGCCGCGGTAGGGGCATAGGTGCAGCTCGTACAACAGCTAGAGCAGCACCTGCAGATCCACCAGTTGCTACAGCTCAGGAGCAGGTTCTAGATGTGGCTGAGCCAGTGAGGCCAGCTCAGGCACCAGCTGTGCCCATTGTGATTCCAGGCCTTCAGGAGGCTTTGGCCCAGTTATTGACCGTTTGCACTGGCCTTGCTCAGGTGGTTTCGGCTCAGGATGCACCAACCACTTCTAAGGCCGGGGGAGGTACTCATACCCCCACCGCCTATACTCCAGAGCAGGTGATGCAGGGACTTCAAACACCGGGGGTACTACCAGCCTAGCCGGTTGTAGCTGCTCAGGCCCCGGTGGTCCTCGTAATGACTGATGATGAGCAGAGGAGACTTGAGAGTAACGGTGCCGAGTCAAAGGATTCCTAAGGTTTATTGGATAAGTGCCAGCAGATTCTTTGCACAACTGGTATTCTTGAGACAAGTGGGGTCGTGTTCACTACTTTTCAGTTCACTGGGGCTGCCTTCAGATGGTGGGAGGCTAATGAGAGGTGCAGGCCAGTCGGTGCAGCACCACTTAAATGGTAGGAATTCTTCATTCTCTTCTTGGAGAAGTTCGTGCCGCAGTCTCACAGGGAGGAGCTGCGCAGATAGTTTGAGCAGTTACGACAAGAGTGCATGCCTGTGATGCAGTACGAGATGAGGTTTTCTGAGTTGTCTAGTCAGGCAGTTTGGTTGGTTCCCACTAATAGGGAGAGGATTAGGAGGTTCATTAATGGCCTCACATATCAGCTGTGGTTGCTTATGACTCAGGAGAGGGTGTGTGCCTCTACTTTCGACGAGGTGGTTGATATTACTCAGCAGATAGAGATGGTCCAGAGCTAGGAGCATGGAGAGAGGGAGGCCAAGAGGCCTCGTGGATCGGGTGGTTTCAACGGTGTTCCTTCTGGAGGTCAGTTTTACCATGATAGGGGTCGTCCTTATAGGCACGCTTAGACAGCTCGTCCAATTCACCATGGTGCATCATCCAACCATGGTTCATACAGTTCTCATCAGGGTCAGTCATCTCTTACTGCCCTTCCAGCTCAAAGTGCATCCCGTGCTCCATCGGCTCAGGGTTCATCTATGTCGGGTCCTTCTAGCAGTTGTACCGGTGCTCGGGGCTCCCTTCAGTCCCCGCCACAGTACCGGGGAGTTGCTTTGAGTGAGGGGTGTTTGGGCATATGTGGAGGTAGTGTACTCATCGCCCGAGAGGTCCAGTACAGCAAATGAGTAAGGGGAGGCCGATCAGGTGGAGGCCAGGCCCGATTCTATGCTATTCCTGCCAGACCAGATGTTGTTGCTTCCGATGCAGTGATCACATGTATTGTTTCAGTATGCCACAGGGATGCCTTTGTATTATTTGACCCTGGTTCCACTTATTCCTATGTATCATCGTATTTTTCTCATTATCTAGATATGCCCCGTGAGTCCTTAGTTTCATCTGTTCATGTATCTACGCTAGTGGGCGATACTATTGTTGTAGACCGTGTATATCGGTCGTGTGTAGTGACTATTGGGGAATTGAAGACTAGAGTTGATCTTTTATTGCTTAGTATAGTGGACTTCGACGTGATCTTGGGTATGGATTGGTTGTCTCCATGTCATGATGTTCTGGATTGTCACGCTAAGACCGTGACGTTGGCGATGCCAGGGTTGCCAAGGATTGAGTGGAGAGGTTCTCTAGACTATGTTCCCAATAGGGTGATTTCCTATTTGAAGGTCCAGCGGATGGTAGGGAAGGGTTTATCTTATTTGGCCTTTGTGAGGGATGTTGGTGCTGATACTCCTACTATTGATTCTGTTCCGGTGGTACGAGATTTTCCTGATGTGTTTCCTGTAGACCTGCCGGGCATGCCGCCCGATAGGGATATTAAATTTGGTATTGACTGGTGCCGGGCACTCAGCCCATTTCTATTCCATCGTATCATATGGCACCAGATGAGTTGAAGGAATTGAAGGAGTAACTTCAGGAGCTTGTGCACCAGTCCTGTTTGTGAAGAAGAGGGATGGTACTATGCGGATGTGCATTGATTACAGGCAGTTGAACAAAGTTACAATCAAGAACAAGTATCTTTTGCCGCATATTGATGATCTATTTGACCAGCTTCAGGGAGCGAGGGTGTTCTCTAAGATTGACTTGAGGTCTGGGTATCACCAGTTGAAGATTCGGGACTCGGATATTCTAAAGACAACATTCAGGACCCGTTATGGTCATTATGAGTTCCTCGTGATGTCTTTTGGGCTGACCAACGCTCCAGTAGCATTTATGCATCTGATGAACAATGTATTTCAGCCTTATCTTGACTCGTTTGTCATAGTGTTCATTGATGATATCCTGGTGTACTCTCGTAGCCAGGAGGAGCATGCCCAGCATTTGAGGATTGTGTTGCAGCGTTTGAGGGAGGAGAAGCTTTATGCCAAGTTCTCCAAGTGAGTTTTGGCTTAGTTCAGTGGCATTCTTGAGGAACGTGGTGTCCAGTGAGGGGATTCAGGTGGATCCAAAGAAGATAGAGGCGATTTAGAGTTGGCCCAGACAGTCCTCAGCCACGGTGATTCGGAGCTTTCTCGGCTTGGCCGATTATTATCATCGCTTCGTGGAGGGATTCTCGTATATTGCATCACCCTTGACCAAATTGACCCAAAAGGGTGCTATTTTCAAGTGGACGGATGAGTTTGATGAGAGCTTTCAGAAGCTCAAGACTGCCTTGACCACAACTCCAGTTCTAGTTCTACTGCAACTTTTGGTTCTTATACAATGTATTATGATGCTTCTCGGATCGGTATTGGATGTGTCTTGGTGCAGGAGGGTAAAGTGATTGCTTATGCTTTGCGTCAGTTGAAGCCCTATGAGAAGAACTACCCTGTCCATGATTTGGAGTTAGCTGCTATCATTCATGCATTGAAGATTTGGAGGCATTATCTCTACGGTGTGTCTTGTGAGGTGTTTACAGATCATCATAGTCTCCAACATTTGTTCAAATAGAAGGATCTAAATTTTAGGCAACAGAGATGGTTGGAGCTGCTAAAGGACTATGATATCACTATTCTGTATCATCCCGATAAGGCTAACGTGATAGCCGATGCCTTGAGTAGAAAGGCTGTGAGTATGGGTAGCCTTGCATTTATTCCCGTTGGTGAGAGATTTGCAGTTGATGTTTAGGATTTGGCCAACCAGTTCGTGAGATTAGATGTCTTGGAGCCTAGTTGGGTTCTAGCTTGTGTGGTTTCTCAGTCTTCCTTATATGATCGCATCAGAGAGTGCCAGTATGATGATCCCCATTTGCTTGTCCTTAAGGACACAGTTCAGCACAGTGATGCCAGAGATGTTACTATTGGGGATGATGGGGTATTGAGTATGCATGGTCAGATTTGTGTGCCTAATGTAGATGGGCTACGTGAGTTGATACTTGAAGAGGCCCACAATTCGCGGTACTCCATTCATCCAGGTGCCGCGAAGATGTACCAGGACTTGAGGCAGCATTATTGGTAAAGAAGAATGAAGAAGGATATAATGGGATTTGTAGCTCGGTGCCTCAACTGTCAGCAGGTGAAGTATGAGCATCAAAGACTGGGTGGATTGCTTCAGAGGTTAGAGATTCCAGAGTGGAAATGGGAGCGGATCACAATGGATTTTGTAGTTGGGCTCCCATGGACTTGGAGGAAGTTCGATGCTGTTTGGGTGATTGTGGATCGGTCTGACCAAGTCCGCACACTTCATTCCAGTTGGAACTACTTATACTTCAGAGCGGTTGGCTGAGCTTTACATCCGAGAGATTGTCCGCCTCCACAGTGTGCTAATGTCCATCATTTCAGATCTGGGCACGCAGTTTACATCACAGTTTTCAAGAGCCATGCAGTGAGAGTTGGGTACCCAGGTTGAGTTGAGCACATCGTTTCACCCTCAGACGGATGGATAGTCCGAGCGTACTATTCAGATATTGGAGGACATGCTACGCGTTTGTGTCATTGATTTTGGGGGTTCATGGGATCAGTTTCTGCCGTTCGTAGAGTTTGCCTACAATAACAACTACCAGTCCATGGAACTGTGCAGTTGAATACTTTATTGTTATATGTAGTTTCTCCATGTATTAAAGAAATTGAACAATAAATCATGTTAGAAATCATGTTTAGACTATGTGATGGCACTTTAGGGACCCACAAAGGTCGTGTACATGTTGAATTATATGCTAAATTGCTATTTTGCACTCAGTCACAGTTTTACTTGAATATTACATCTCAGTCTCTATTGTTTATTGTTGATGCATTATATCATTACTATTTGGGCTGCTTATCATGATTTTTGAGAGCCCGAGAGACTGGATAGGTTGATGACTGAGTGAGGCCGAGGGCCTGATTGTGAGGATATTTATGGGATCGGGCTGCACTCCGCAGCATGTTTCACTGATATATGCCATGATTGGCTTGTTATAGCACTTGGGCTGAAGGAGACCCTCAGGTACCTACTGAGTGCGAGTGTCGAATGTCGAGTGCCAAGTGCTGAGTGAATGAGAGGAATGAGTGACTTTGAGGAAAGAGTGATTGTAAGGTTAGAGTGAATGTGAGGACTGAGTGACTGTTGTTCTGCGAGGATGCATTTGACTTCATTATTTTTGCATTTAAGCTGTCATATATCACTGTCTCGAAATCTCTGAGAGCTATTACCTTCTGTATCAGTTGAACTTGACATGAATTAACTGTTTTGGACTTAATTGTCGAACTTGCAAGCATGCCTACTTTCCTATGTTGAAATCACTGTAATTCAATTTTAACTGTGAAGCTCGTCACTACTTTCCACTCTTTATTTAGTCTTGTTACTTACTGAGTTGGTTGTACTCACGCTACATCCTGCACTTCGTGTGCAGATCCAGGTGTTTTCGGACATGGTGGGTGTTGATTTCAGCGCACAGTTAATCTTCTAGAGATTCCAAGGTAGTTGCCGGCGTTTCGCAGACCTTGCCTCTTCTTTCATATCTTTCCATTTATTGTATTTAGTTCAGACTATCACAGATAGTATTTTTCATACTTGTGATGTATAGATGCTCATGTACTCTGTGACACCCCGATAGTTGGGAACTTCTGCTTTGTGTTTTGGGTTTCTATCCTGTTTATGAGAACTTTCATTATTTTAACTGCTTTAATTTGTTTTATGTTAAAAGTGTTGAGAGTATTTCGAAATGTCGGCTTTCCTAGTACCACGATAGGCGCCATCATGACAGGTTAGGATTTTGGGTTGTGACAGTGGGAGGCTGAATACTTCACGTCTTACCCTTACCTAACAACTAATAATGTCACTGTGCGGTAAGTTTCATACTCACCCTCTTACTATATTAGTGCATTAAGTTTTATACGAAAGTCTCAGTTTCTCTCACAAGCCAAAATTAACCCACAGACTCTCACTATGAACAAATTTTGTTTCACGTAGTGCCACTATCATGCTTATAATCAATGCATTGAATTAGTACACTCACGCCACGATCACACTCAGAACATCACCATCTCGATATTATTAATAATAACTAGTCACTTCAAGAAGCTATCAAGCTAGAAACCATATAAGCTCTTTTCAAAATATCTTATCACCACCAAACCCAACAATATAAACATGACTAAACTATTGTATTTCTGTAACGACCCGGTTGGTTATTTTGAGTGTTGTAGCCCTATTCCCCTATTTACGACTTATCTATACTCAATTATTGATATGTGACTTGCCGGGGTAGTTTGTTTGGTTCCGGGGATGTTTCAGAATGAGTTGAGACACATAGTCTCAAGGTTGGAAGCTTAAGTTGAAAAGGTTGACCGGATGTTGACTTATATATAAACGACTCCATAATGGAGTTTCGATAGTTCCGATAGCTCCGTAGGGTTATTTTGGACTTAGGAGTGTGTCCGGATAGTGATTTGGAGGTCCGTAGTTGATTTTAACTTGAAATGACGAAAGTTGGAAAATTAGAAGTTTTGGAAATTGAGAAGTTTGACCGAGAATTGACTTTGTTGTTACCAAGATCGAATTTTGGTTCCGGAAGTTGGAATAGGTCTGTTGTGTCATTGATGACTTGTGTTAAAAATTTCAGGTCAATCGGACTTGATTTGATAGGTTTCGATATCGAATGTATAAGTTAGGAGTTCATAAGTTCATTAGGCTTGAATTGGGGTGCAATTCGTGTTTTTGATGTTGTTTGATGTGATTTGAGGCCTCGACTAAGTTCGTATGATATTTTAGGACTTGTTGGTATGTTTGGTTGAGGTCCCGGGGGCCTCGGGTGGATTTCAGATGGCTAACGGATTAGAATTTGGACTTAGGTGATAGTTGATGTTGCAAATCTGGTTTCCTTATATGCGATCGCGTGAGAAGGTCCGCGATCGCGTAAGCTTATTTTGGGAGACTGAGGTTTTGTTCTATGCAATCACATCTTTTGGTCTATGATCGCATAGGCTGGAGGAGCCAGTGAATTGCGAACGCATGGGCTAAGCCGCATTCGCGAAGAGGAAATGAGGCAGGAGTTGGTCAAGCGCGTTGTTCTATGCGAACACATTGTTCTCTCCGTGATCGCGTAGGTCTAGGAAGCCTATGAATCGCGTTCGCATTGGTGTTTATGCGATCGCGTAGAGTAAGTTCTGAGGCAGTTGATTTTGTGCTTCGCGATCGCGAAGAAGGGACATCTGGGAAGAATTTAAAATCTAAAAAATGAGGGTTTGCGTTTATTTCACAATTTGATTTTGGGAGCTCGGATTGAGGCGACTCTTGGAAAGATTTTCAAGAGAGTAATTGGGGTAAGTGATTCTTACTTGGTTTTGGTTAAATTACATGAATATATCCTTGATTTCATCATTTAATTAGTGATTTGGGTTAAAAAGTTGGGGAAAAATGGAGAAACCTTCTTAGGCCGACTTTTGGGGATTTGAGCGAGATTTTGCCATCGGATTTGAATAATTTTGGTATGGGTGGACTCGTGGTTGAATGGGTGTTTGGATTTTGTAACTTTTATCAAATTCCTAGACGTGGTCCCAGGGGTTGACTTTTGAGTTGACTTTTTGACTTTTGATTAAGAACTTAGCAATTTTTTATGGAATTGATTCCTATAGCTTGAGTTAATTGTATCGAATTGTTTGTGGCTAGATTCGAGGCATTCGGAGGCCGATTCGCAAAGCAAGGGCTTGCTGGAGTAGAGACTTGCACGGTTTGAGCTAAGTAACACTTCCAAACTTGGTTCTGAGGGTATGAAACCTTGAATTACGTGTTGTGTGATTGTTGTTGAGGTGACGCACATGCTAGGTGATGGGCATGTGGGCGTGCACCATAGGAATTCTAACTCGATCGAATCCGTGGAACTGTGTAGTCATATAACTTGTTATCTTCAACGTATTTCCCATGTGTTAAAGAAAACGTAACTGTGATTCATGTTAGAAATCATGCTTAGGCTATATGCTGGT